TGAAAATTTATAAATATATTGAATTAAATTCTTACAGTCTTCAAATTACAGAAATTTATAGTATAGTGTTAATTGTCATTTTAAACAGTTACAAGATTGTTAAATTCTAAAAAACTGAGTAACACAATCGTGCATTACACACCTGTACATATTAAAAAGAGTTTTAATTATATAAAGCATTTAATATATTACATATAGTACTTTTAGAAACAAATATATTATTATTATATGCTTCGCTACAATGTACTTACAATAGGTGCAAACATTTAAAGATCAAAGTTGCATCCTGTTATCAATTAAATGAAATAAGATGATAAACAGTTGAATAAGTTATAATATCATTACTTATTTCTTCGTAAAATTTATAAAAGAAAAGTACCATATACCTAAGTTTAAAGTAACGACTGAATAAGTAATAATATATCAATGTTCATATAAAACGTACGAGAGAAAATAGCTACATATGTTAGTACAAAGAAACAATTGAATAAGTTATAATGTTATTATTCATTTCGAAGAAAAGGGTCACGTATGTTAATACAAAGAAAAACCTGAATAAGTTATAACTACTTATTTCCATGCAAAAGATTAGGAAGAAAGGAGCCACGTATTATGTATGTTGGTATAAAGTAGCGGTTGAATAAGTTATTAGGTCGTGTAATATGAAATGTCGGATTTTGTGGAAAAAAAGGAAACCTCATTTGATATTCCAAACGACGTCTATTCGATCAAAATGCCAACGTGTTTTTAACACTAAAGTTCTCGAGCAATTAGAATATCGTATTGCTGAACTTTTTATACGAATTAGAACAATACGTTTCATGATATTCGAAGGGTCTTCTAGTCTCGTGTCTGTAGAGAGATTTAACTTAAAATCTCTCGCAATAGCGGTTTCATAATTTAATAAAAATTCTGAAGTGAGTCAATTTGACTCGTCTGATAATTTTAGTGTTAACAAATATATTCCTTTCTTGAAACATTCTAAATGTTTAGAATGAATAAATCAAAGACCTAGCCAAAATCTTATTTTTGACATTTTCCTGAAAAATGGTCAACAACTGACACAAGGTCAATTACTGCTGCGTTTACCTTAATATTATTACTTATTGCCATGTGAAAAATATGAAAGAAAAGGGTCAGTGCAGTGGCTCTTCTTCGTAAAGTGTCGTTTATATTAGTGGAAAGCCTCTATAGTGGCTTTCCCTACCAAAAGATCATCTAACGGGTAGCCAGCGTAGTGGCGCGTAGTACCTAAAGGGTTAAACAAGACAAGCGAGCAGCTCTGTGTGTACGCGCACGATAAAGACAGGGAATCCGGAATACAAGTGCGTGAGAGTTACTGAAGAGTGAAAGAGAGAGAGAGAGAGAGAGAGAGAGAGAACGAGAGAGAAAGGTAGATAGAAAGGGGAGTGAAAAGGAGAGCACGAAATTGAAGTCTTAAAAAGGCAAAGGAAAATGCGTCCGGGTCAAAGAGTCTTGAGAAGCTGAGTGTGAACTGTTGACCTGCGACATGCGGTCACGAGGCTATTGTAATAGACCTTTTCTTTATTTTAAGTTGGCACTTTATACCTAGCATATAATTAACCCTTAATTGCTGCAGTCTTAGAGGCACCTTGGATTTCTTGTAATTAAATATAAATTAAATATTTCATTAATGATTTATAATGGTAAAATTGTAAATGTTTTACTATATTCATAATTCTAATTATGATATAAACTGTTGAAATATTATATAATACTCTAATTAACCCCTTGCCTTACAATAACGTGTGAGACTCGTGGTGAACATTTTAAATAGAATTTAACGAGCATAAATATTACTCAATCTCTGTGAATTCAAATTAAATATTATTCTTCTATTATCAATTATTATATTACAGGGCAAACATAGACATAGAATATGCATAGAATTTTTCTCTTTTTTCAATAAATTATTACTGACAAAGCTGTTGTGTCGATTACAGTTGAAAAATAAATCATAGGGCAAGGGGTTAAATAAGAAAAATAATATAGGAAAGTATTCACACAGACTAGTTGAAATTATATAACAATCAAGTAATGTTTCGGAAGTAAAATTTGGTAAAATGTTTGTTTAAATATTTCATATATACCAGGTTATATGTTCTATAAGGGAACATGATAAAATGTGTATTTTATGAATATTGTTGTGGTAAGGCTCGTAATCAATACGTTTCTACTGAATAATTCCTTAGTCGCGAGATCATCGTATTCATTAATAAATTAATATCGTAGAATTAGTTTGACGTGCATTTGGTTTAATGCGTGAATTGATTAGACACGTTCATTTGCGACAAATATATTACCACTGATAATATGTCCAGATATTCTCTGATAATTGTCTATGTTTCGTCTGTCTATGTTTATCTATATATTAACTGAATGTGAATGGCCTTTGTATTTTTATTGGCAGTTGCATATAGATGTTGGTAAAAATGGTATAGCAGTGATGTATAATACCTATTTAGGTAGTTGCAGCCATATTAAATATTATAGTTCGGCTTGAAGCTTATTTATAACATTTGCTTCAACTATGTAGTTAATTTGCGTTTCCTATGTAATCTTCCTAATACATGTTAATACCATTTGAAATTCTGGTATACTGGTGAATTAACCACGAACAATAATTAAAACAAGTTTAATGAAAACACCATACATAAAATAATTCATATTTACGTTTTATAATTTGTTTATTTGTAATATATGTTAATACTGTTTGAAATTCTGGTAGAATAGTGAATTGACTACGACCAGTAGTTAAGACAATTTTAATGAAGTCAATATACATTAAAAAATTCATATTTATACAGTTTATGATTCGTTTGTTGTCTTGAATAAATTTCAGCGCTCTTCTTTTGCAAGCTCGGCGAATGTAGAAGCCATTCCGTAATTTAAAATAATTTTCACGAAAATATTAAACCCGGAAGTTCTACAACAACACGCCGTAAATCAAATGTGACATTTGTTGCACATTCACGATGATAAGTTTTAAATGAAAGCTCGCAAGATTGTATGCGGAATAAAGAACAATATTAGACATGTCAAATAAAGGCTCAGTGTTGTCATAGCTGTGCGCACAACTATTTGCTGCAATAATATGAACATTTACATTCATATTTGCGACGTTCTCGTGTTTTATGTATTCAAAGATATTTCTGGTATTCCTAGATGTACGAGGTAAATTGAAGAGACGGATAAAAATTTCTCATACAACAATTGGTTTTTAGAATTGTTAGTGACGTAAAAAAATAATGGAACAGTAATGGCACCAATACCAATCTTTTGTCCAGTTAATTATTCAATTATTTCTACTTTTTATTCGTATGGAGATGATATTTTAATGAGCCTATAGATAACGATTCTATTTAAATATTTAATAGTGTTTCATAAATCTTGAATTAAAGTTGAGGAACTGAATGAATTTGTCTTACAATTAATAAATCCTATTGTACTATACAGGAAATTAATTATAGTTCTATTTTAAACAAATTAATGTAATTTCGAATTGTTCAATTTGACAAAATATTAATTATCTTCACAAATTTAATAACATTATGGTCTTCACAAAATCATAGTTGATAATTATTCAATTTATACATGCTTAGATTTGTTTTCAGTAGATAAAACTCCATTCCATTAATAATATCTTTATCACAACATTGTTAATAACGAAATTTTGATTTTTAATAATAATAACGTAATAATGTAAATAGGGGTTGAATAGACTCATTCATGAATGAAAATTAAAAATTTAATTCTTTTTCACTTATTCTGAATAAACCGCGTATAATGTATCGGTAAAAGTTGTACGATAATTTCATGTATAGACTTGTTGGTACCAGTGAGGATACAAAGCCTTTAAAATAGTTTGAAAGCGTTAAAATTGTGAACATGGTTTGTTATTATGCATACCCCTTTACTGAGACATCTAAAGACGTCTATGCATATTTTACTGAAGAGGCTCTGAATAACAAAATGGATACCCCACATTTTTTCAAGACAGTTCCTTGATCAATGGACCTATTCCAGTCAGTCTGATCTAGTACGCTATAAAGAGCAATTTCGTTGAAAGTACCTCTATTACTTACACAATAAATTAGTTTATATTAGTACAATGACTATGCTCTTTCCAACTTTAGCGCCTCCTACTGGTTCAAGTGTAATACCTATATAATATAGTTATTTAATGCAACTAACACATTTTTTCTAACAGAGTTAATTTAAAAAAAAATTATTTTGTAAATTTTCTTTGAACACTAAATTCTAAATTGGTGAAAATAGTAAGTATACATACATATACCAAGTTTCTTAAATTCAATTTTCTAGGAAATTAAATTTCATTGAATAAGATTTCTTTTATAATTATTGCAACTACCAATCATTAGAGGACATTGAGTATTAATTTAATGACCTGTAACATTATTATTACAGAAAAGTATTATAGAACTTTTATATTTCCATGTTTTCTTTATAAATTTGTTTATAGAATCCTTGATAAGTTGTTCATAAATTTCATATATTCATATGTACCCATAAACATTTCATAAATAAATCAACTTCAAAGAAAAAATTTGTGTCCAAAAATATTTTCGTACATGCCACCCTCACTGGAGCATAGTCTAAAAATAGGGATGAATCTCTGACACCTTCCAAGATTAAAAGGTTACAAACTCTCGTTAAAAACATGTTACAGTTCTGTTAAATTGGAATATTATATTTCCCTCATATGACGACAAGTTCAGTTATTAGGTAACATATTCCTGTTTAACAGCCATTCCCGAAAACACGTCAACAACAGTACAATTTCGTATATATACATGTATGTAGATAAATAATGGCAATAACGTATTCTCCACTGTTAATTAAAATTCGTTCAAACGGAACTCCGTCGAATCACAATAACAGAATTGTAAAGGTGGATGTAAAGTGCATGCAGTTTTCAAAATTATGTATACACAGAGAAGCTTATCGACGTTACAAACCTTATGAGCATATAGACACCGGTCTGCTCCAGTGCCCTGGATACAGCTTTCCAGCTGGCCATAACCGTAAATTTCTGTTTCGCCGTCAGTGGGAGCCGTGGATCCGTGGGAGTTTGATTTTGCGACTTCGCGGTCGCCAATTTGCTAAGTTCGCAGCCCATGTTGCAGCAATTCGTTCCTTCTCTTCACAAAAGCAAAGAATCACCGACACACTTGCCACTGCTTCTCGTGGAAACGAACAATTACCACGGTTTCCGGGACCTAATCCAAACCCGGTCTCCCCAATTGAGGCTCGTTAATCTTTGACGAGCATCGAAGATAAATTGTCACCTGACGGGGTTGAATTGGATCGAAAAACGTCCGAATGAGTTTAATCAAGCAATGGCGCGATCACTGCTTCTAGACGGAACCACGAAATCACTCGTGTTAAGCGTTTCACGGAACGTTCCTTTGAAATTTTGTTTCGCAGCGAATGTTTTCCTTATCATCGACAGCAGCAGTGTCTTCTGACAGGTGTTCGCTAATTAGTAATTTTCGCGAGTGACATTGTTGAGGAATTTTGGAAACGTTTAAGCATAGGTGCCTCGGGTTTAGCTGTGGTCATCCAAGTTTTCAGGTCTATATGGACACCTTGTGCACATCCATTTTCTGGTTTTTTCTTGTTTCGAACGGTGATTCATTTAAATCATTGTTTAAAATTCGAGAAGGGTCTGTGCGTTGCTGTTAGGCTCGTAATTTATGGAACACATGGCCAACGAGCTTTGCGATTAAGATGATTCGTGTCACAGATCCATTGATCCTTTCGTTGGCGAACCTCGCGGAATCTTCTTTGTGCTTCCGCGAACGGAGTTCCCTTGCGATTTTCTACTGAAAGAAAGGCAAACGAATGATGGTTAAAGAAACCCTACAAACAATGCGCTCTTTGTGGAGATGGACGGTGGACAACGCGAGGATTGATTTGAATTACAGAATTTAGTGTCGTTTGGTGGTCCAAGAAAAAATTGAAGTTACTTTAATTCATTTTCTAAAATATTTTTATATTTTTAAGTATTACTTTTTAATCATTTTTAAAAATATTTTATTGAATAAAAGTTACTTTTGCTTTTCTGTAATATTAATTGTGTAATTAGTCATTGGAAGTGCGTTACGTGGTCATTGGTAAAAAATAATTTTTACAAATTTAATCGCATAAGATTATTCATTTACACATATAATTTATTCGTTCTTAGTGTATTTGATATTTTTTAAATACGGTAAGTCTCTTCACTGTTTTACAATGATATCAGATGTTATGGGTGATACACAGAAGCACTTAACTTGATATCTGCATGTACTAGAATAAGCGCGAACAATAGCAGTACATTATATTTTTGTCACAACAGAGTACGGAGAATGAATTGAAACATTATCTGATTTGTGTCGTGTACAGATTCGTTTCATTTTAAAATTGTCTTCATTTAATTGATTATACTTCCATTATGATTCTGCCTATAATAAAATAATCAACCTTCGATGCAAAAAGAAATATTTAACATATATTACAAGTTGTTACTCGTCTCGAATATTGATTACTATGTATAACTGTATATATAATTTTTTTTTTATGATTCGAACGATTCCTGACGGCACTGTAAATCCACGACCATTGTTTATATATGTAAGTTTAATTTGTCTCTATAATATTGTGTCAGAGTGATGAAAATTTTAAACTGAATTTAGCAAATCCTATATCAAATTCACTTTTTTTAAAATATACATTGAATACTACTTTTTTATGCATTGTCAATATTATCAGTCGTTAATTTCTGGAGTTAAGGTAAACGTAGGATGAGTATCAAATTGCCTTCTTTTTTTAGTAAATTGTGAACGGTAAATTTGCTTTATCAAGCGCAGTTGCCAAAGAAATTATAGGATAAGGGTTTAATTAAGCTATGGAAACATCGTCAAGTAGCTGGAAATGTTTCTTTGATGGAAACAAGTTCAAATATGCCATAAATCGGATAACAACGTGTACTAGGTCAATATTGAAATATTTCACTCGAAGCTCACTAATGAACGTTGTCTCTGGGACGTTGCATGAAAATAATAGCAGCTGTACGTGTCACGCTGTTGCTGTTGAAGCTCGTTCTAGCATGCGCACCTTTTTGAATAAATAGATATCCTTGTATTGCTAATTCATTTTGTTATGAACGAAACTACGGAAAAAGATGGACGATAGGAAACTATAAAATAAACTGGTTATACATGTTAGTACAGAGTTAAACTCAAATTGAGTTGAAAATTAAGGGTGATAAAATTATAGTAGAGGTTTCATTTTCAAGTTGTTAAGTACAAGTAAAAATCCTAGAGCAAATTGAAGTGCGGGAAAGAGGTGTCAGTTGTGAGGGGTCTGAATGATAGATGGTGCTCAATCTGCAGCCAGGTAAAACATCTTACAATAAACTCATACAGGAAATTTAAGAGAGATCAATACTGTAACACGCGTAAATAGTATAATTGCATTAAAAACTGTTTCTCAAGTTGCAAATAAAAGTAACTTTATTAATACACATTCAATATGAACATCTTCATAACAGATGGGGTAAGCTGACGGTTGATGGGGTTATAATAAATAATTGAATCATTAATTCAAACTTAATGTTATACACGAAGTATTATTAGTCCCTAAATTTAATATATACCTTTTTAGCGGTAATATTCATACAGAAAAGAAATAATATGTTTGAGAAACAAAATAATAATAAAACCTAAACTTAACCTCTATATATTATCTGGTACAAATTGAGAAATGGATTGTATAGGATAATACTATAAATTGAGAGACAGAAATCATATTTAATAAAAAAAGTAAAAAAGTACTTGGCATAGGAACTTATGTCGGTTATATACATTTTAATTATATAAACTTGATTGCTAAACTTAATATATGAAATAGTAATAAGTAATAGGACAAACAATCAAATTGAACTTATCATGTGAGACATGTGTGGAGTTTAAAATATATTACATCAAGCTTTAATGTTGCAAACATAGGAGTGAAATTCTAATAAGAAATAATGTATATAGTTTTTAAATAAGATAGGCAAAAGAAATTGTTCTGATGGTTTGTTTAATCTTAAACAAGAAAAAATTTTAACCTAGGCTATATTATTATAGAAAGCAAAAATAATATAACATTATTGCTTGTAAATGACTATTCATTGTAAATAATTATTCTGGAATGATTTAAGAAAAACATATTCGTGGGAAGGAATGTAATTTTATATATAAAGGAGCGCAAAGTACCAATAAGAGAAATATATATAACAATATGTACACAAGTCAATGGAAGGGTACTGAATTATAGTCCATAAAATACAAAGCATATTGTTACGCGTAGAGAAATGCACAATGAGTCTAAGAGGCTCTAAAGTAATAATTTAAATAGTATTGAATGCTTTTGTACATAACAGTTTATTAATTCAAAATAGTAAAACAAAATGAAAGTATTCATTTAATAATTAAGAGAACAATTCAATACAGAAACTATGAATACCCCAGAGATATTTCTTGGTATGAAAATACAAAATAATATATTAATGCAAAGAGAAGATTAAAAAATATAAAATATAGTATGTGTGTTATATTTTTCAACAAATACCATATTAAACATGATTTATTCTATTGGATATTGTAGCATGCTTGAAGACTATGAAAATAATAGTAAAATACAAGAGAACTTTTAGTGTTTCAGCCTTTTTAGATAATTCCCTCATTCAACATATAAGAAGCTTTGTAATTTATTACATATTTATAGATAGATACATACGTGTATCCTATGGTTCTCAAATAACTATATGCTCATTAATTAATAAATATGCAGATTTAAATTATTGATTTATTCATAAAAAATTTTAAAGCAATATAGTAAAACTCTGAAATGCTGACCAATATAAAATCAAATCCCGGGTAAATTGATAAAATCGCTATTCTATGAGAAACTTATAAATCTATGATAGGAGTGACGAAACGAAAAAACGTAGATAAAAGGTACATTTTAAATTAATGAGTTTCAATAAGGAGTTCGATTAAGTGCAGAAAATAATTTTGAAGTTACTAAGTTACTAGAATATATGGTTGGTATGACTGAAAGAGAAGAGTGGGAGAAACGTGACATGAAAGAATGATGTATGAGCGGGAATAAAGTGAGTATTTACGAAACTAAAATAAAATCCACATCTAACAATAAGTATATCTAAAAACGAAAGTGTAGTTTTTGATAATGTCGTTTGCGCTATAGTGAAATGTATTTAAATAGCCTATTATTATTTCATGTTCTGATTAAGTTTTTATATTATACAGGTTACATATGTATCTGTAACTATTCTACCTTTCTTCGTAGACAGTATACGTTTTAAAGATATTTCAGCATGTCAAAATACGTCTTAAAGATGTTCATTTTACGTCCATTTTAGGTTTGAATTTCTAACGACCTCAACAAGACGTCTTTAAGACGTCTGGTCCAAGACATTAAGATGAAAATATAAGATATATTTTTAAATTGCCTTATAGTCGCAGTAATATGTAATTAGTTTTTCAATTATACGAGTTTTAATTTACTTTTAAACTACCATTGAAAAGTTTTGCATTATCAATTTTATTTGAGAAACAAGTTTTCCACGACGCATTGAATATCTTTGTTTCAATCTTCTTAATCACGTGATCTCTGGTAAAAAGAAAACTCCTATTAAGACATTTTTAATAAAATAAACTGTATTGTATTTATCAACACAATTTATTCAATCTTATAAGCCTTTACCAATTCTAATCTAAGGAAACATAAAAATTACAAAGGAAAGTCAATAATATACTAAATACATCCTGAAAACGTTTTCTTTAAAAAAGATCAAGTTTCAACTAAGAAAAGAGGATTTAGATAAAATCTACTTAAAATGTTCTACTATCATCCACTATACGCTTGCTGAACAGCGGAAGATCGCGGATGAAACATGACACCGGTGTGGAGAATGACCTACTCAAAGAAATTTGATATTTTTGTCACTGTTTCGCTTTTAATGCCTCCAAATGTTTAAACAATAAATTTCCGAGTTGATTCTATTTTGCCTTTAACTGTAAATTTTTGTCACAAGAATGAAAAAAACGTGACACATTTCGTTTTTAAGCTATTAAATTTTACGTAAAATTAAGTTTCTTATTAAAATGGGTTTCCTCAACTTTGATGGACGAGAGTGGTTGTCTGCTACCACGATAGCCGCAGGGCGAGCGTTCGATGATACCACTCAGCGAGAGCGAAATGCGATCTAAATAAGACGTTTTTGAGATGTCTCACTAAAGTCTTCTGAACGTTTTTTTGCGAGCGAAGTATAATCCAAATAAGAGGTCAAAAAGACTCCAAATAAAATATCATAAATTCGAATAATCTCTTTAGAAGGTTTGTGTGACATAGACGTCCATAAGACGTCCTAGCTGTCTGGGTCGTGTGAACACGTGCAGGCAGTAATCTATATAGCCAATCCTATGAGTAAAACGGTCATATGAAGAAGTATGCATTTTATAAATAACTGTACAATAATATACGCAGCAAGATAAGTATCTATTACGTACTTATATGAATTAATGAGACTGGAAGATAATTAAGTAGATTACCGCATAAGATATTTTGAAATTGTTTTATATACATAAATGATTATAGGTATTTATTCAATGCTAATTCAAATTAACCAGTAGTTCATTTCGTGTCATAAGCTAATGTATGTTGAACTGTTATAAATGCAGTAATTAACATATAATATTTAAATCAGTGGTGCGATTGTTTAGTATGATCATCGTTACTATATTTTATGGATAACAAGTGGACAATAAAATGCAGAAGTGAGAAAAACAGTTTTCTTTTTAATTTAAACAAGTGGTTAATTTTATTTTCATAATTCAATCTTAAATTCTTGGAATAATATAATTAAACCTATGCATATGAGGACATAATTACTTAATTAGAGAAGAATCTTTTCCGTTTAATAATTTTTGGAAACCCACATTAAAAGATAAATACGACATGAAATATAAAAATCGCGAATGATAATTTTTAAAGAAGCACTTTAAAGGTCGAAAAGTGAGAAATACTTGCCGATGTTCAGTGAATTTCAGTGAAATCGGATATATCAAAGTTTCTCTAAATTGCTGTCAGTGCCGCTTGGCATGCTTTTCACTGGAACAAATTTTAATAGCACGCCACTTGTTCATAGCTACAAACAAGTACAGCATTGCTTAATGCAAAAGTCCTATCTCTCGATTTTCAAAGTAATTCCAAGCGTTAAATTAACAGTACCGCTACAGAACGCACTGCGATGTTTGGTAAAAAGCTCGTATATACTATTCGCGAACAAAACAAAAGTAAAACGCAAAAATTGGGACAAACAGTAAAACCAAACACAGTGCGCTGATACATAAAATCCGTTTAAACCGACTGACGAGAAAGAACCTCGATGCATCACTGGATGTGGCGTTTCATCCGCTATTCTAACGGTTATCGGATGAGTTCGGGAGTAAGAATAAGAAATAAAACTTCAATGACCAATAAAAGCATGAAAATAACCAAATCAATAAACGAAACACACTATTCTTAGGCTTCGCGTTCATCAAAGAGAAAGAGGTTGAAGGATCAAACGTATTACAAATGTGGAAGAAGGCATATACATTAAGAGAACGTAACACGATACACACAACATTCCTAATATCGATACCATACACTCCATATAAATATCACCGTGATCAGCCATACAACAAAAATCAATTAAACAATGATATCAAGAAAGAAACATAAAAAGGACCAGACACTTGAAGGCAAGCCAAGTTAACAAAAATAACGTTGTCCACCGTCCCATCTGTTCTCGCTTAAGGCTAAAGAAATAAAGCTCGGGGAATCACCTGGCGCATGAAACGCGATTTCGGTCGACTGGTCGCATACGCGAATCGATTCGCGCAATTTATAAACTTCTCTCGCGTTTCCCTCTTCCTTCGAATCTGGCCTCGGTTACCGGGAAGAAGCTGCTGGTGCACCGTGGTCCTCGCTCCTCATCTCGGGCAGAAGCAATGGGACGAGGACACCGTTGGCGCGCACATATCCTCAATGACACAAACCGTTCGCTGTACTGTCGATCCTCCGCGTGTTTTAAAACGCTGTTGCCTCCGGGCAGGCAGGGTCACGTCTCACGTTGCGGACACCGTTGACCCGCGACACCAATCATTCCCGTTGGAACGGGCCAGGATTTCCCGAACGCGATCGACTGGCTCGGTTCCTGTTTTGCTATCTTTAGAACGTCTCCCGGGGATCTGGATTGTCCGCGAGGGTGGTGCGCCACGGCCGTGTTGCTTTCAGCCCAGACAAGCCGAGACTGAGGCACCAGTAACAAGTGCTCAGGACGAGCACGCACATGCGCAACCATGTTCACCCCCTTATCATTCTCGGCCTCTCCTTCTAACTTCCCTACAACCTTCCCCCGATACAACCTGCGACCAATTAATCGAGCATTTTGCATTTTCTTTCGACGGACGAACGAGCTTTTCTTCCCTTAATCGTTCCCCACCGCCTTCGATCGTCTGGATCGGGGCGAGGGTAGCTATCCAGGGGATGCCCAAATGATGGTTTAGTG